TCAAAGTAATCAAAGTAATCAAAGTAATCAAAGTAATCAAAGTAATCAAAGTAATCAAAGTAATCAAAGTAATCAAAGTAATCAAAGTAATCAAAGTAATCAAAGTAATCAAAGTAATCAAAGTAATCAAAGTAATCAAAGTAATCAAAGTAATCAAAGTAATCAAAGTAATCAAAGCAATCAAAGCAATCAAAGTAATCAAAGTAATCAAAGTAATCAAAGTAATCAAAGTAATCAAAGTAATCAAAGTAATCAAAGTAATCAAAGTAATCAAAGTAATCAAAGTAATCAAAGTAATCAAAGTAATCAAAGTAATCAAAGTAATCAAAGTAATCAAAGTAATCAAAATAATCAAAGTAATCAAAGTAATCAAAGTAATCAAAGTAATCAAAGTAATCAAAGTAATCAAAGTAATCAAAGTAATCAAAGTAATCAAAGTAATCAAAGTAATCAAAGTAATCAAAGTAATCAAAGTAATCAAAATAATCAAAGTAATCAAAGTAATCAAAGTAATCAAAGTAATCAAAGTAATCAAAGTAATCAAAGTAATCAAAGTAATCAAAGTAATCAAAGTAATCAAAGTAATCAAAGTAATCAAAGTAATCAAAGTAATCAAAGTAATCAAAGTAATCAAAGTAATCAAAGTAATCAAAGTAATCAAAGTAATCAAAGTAATCAAAGTAATCATAGTAATCATAGTAATCAAAGTAATCAAATTAATGAAAGTAATCAAAGTAATCAAAGTAATCAAAGTAATCAAAGTAATCAAAGTAATCAAAGTAATCAAAGTAATCAAAGTAATCAAAGTAATCAAAGTAATCATAGTAATCATAGTAATCAAAGTAATCAAAGAATCGAAGTAATCGAAGTAATCGAAGTAATCGAAGTAATCGAAGTAATCGAAGTAATCGAAGTAATCGAAGTAATCGAAGTAATCGAAGTAATCGAAGTAATCGAAGTAATCGAAGTAATCGAAGTAATCGAAGTAATCGAAGTAATCGAAGTAATCGAAGTAATCGAAGTAATCGAAGTAATCGAAGTAATCGAAGTAAACGAAGTAATCGAAGTAATCGAAGTAATCGAAGTAAACGAAGTAATCGAAGTAATCGAAGTAATCGAAGTAATCGAAGTAATCGAAGTAATCGAAGTAATCGAAGTAATCGAAGTGATCGAAGTGATCGAAGTGATCGAAGTAAGCGAAGCAAGCGAAGCAAGCGAAGTAAGCGAAGTTATCGAAGTTATCGAAGTTATCGAAGTAATCGAAGTAATGGAAGTAATTAAAGTAATGAATATTTTAATAATGTAACGATAATCGCCATCTCTACGCAGGTTTTGCCTCATCGAGAATACGAATCGTCGCCGGTCTGTGCGTGCGACGCCAAGCTGAAGGGCTCCATTTCAATGGCCCTTACTCCATTTGATTACGAACACATCAAAATCTGCCGGCCGGCCTGTGACGGCTCAATGGGCGCGCTGCTTTAGCCGTTGACTACTGATCGTCTAGTTTTTTTCTAATTGTTCGTCGGATTTTGATTTCTCTTAAAATGACTGAACGGTACTGCGACAAATTTTGTCAACACATTGATGATTCTCAAAGCGAAACAATTCATAGGATTCAGTAGGTATTTGAAGACGATGGAGATGAATTAAGAAGTGGTTAAATCGATTCAAAACTGGCCAAATATCGGTGGGAAGTACTTGAAATGCAGCTGTTGTTAAGAGGGAGGAAATCTAACAATGGAAGATCGTCGTTTGACCTTACGAGGGATTGCCGTAGAAGTTGAGAGATGCACAGAGTGGCTGCAAAATTGTGCTCAAGCTTTTATCTCATTCTACGCACCGGATACAGACTTTCTTGGACAAACATGGAATTCCAGTCGTTCGCCAACCTTCCTACTCTTCAGACATTGTGACTTCTGGATGTTTTCGAAATTGAAGACGGCATTAACAGGATCCCGTTTTCATAGTAGAGAAGAGGTAATGCAGAACGCTGTTACGTGAAATTAATTTTAAATTAATTTATTTATTTTTAAAAACAATTTCTCCATAACCCCTCGTAACACATCTTAAACGACAATCGCTCGCTTCCTTCTCGAGATTTGAAAAGTGCGGTTTGCGAACATACTAGTGTTTCTTTGGGCAACCACGCCGTGATAAAATCGACTCGTGTGAATTCAACCGGCCTTTTGGTTTATCAAGTTCAATGTGGTAGTGTGTGTCGATAAATAAGTTACTATGAGTAGATTTCCATAATTATCTTGTCTTTTATATATGTGTTTATTGTGTGTTAACGTTGGGATAATTGTCAGGTAATGTTTCTTTTAACTTATATTTTAACATTTTGCTGGATTTAGTTGGAAAACCGAAAGGATCGGCCATTTGCTTTTTTTTATTACCATCATGCTGACGAGTGCCGGTTATTATTATTGTTTCATTTTATATAGATTATAGCTACCCTACCTAATATATTTTTAAGCTTTCTTTGATATATACGCGGGTAGGCAACTAAATAATTGAATTACAAATCAGTCTGGAAATACAGTTTAAACGGAAATATATGGCTCTTAACCATTTTGGCCTTATAAATAATTCATATTTTGTTCAGATGATGTAAAACTTATTGTTATAACTTATTTTGGCCTTATAAATATTTTATAATCTGTTCAGATGATGTAACTTTAATATTTGTCCTGATATTTTATATTCTGTTCAGACGTTGTAACTTTAATATTTGTTCCGTTTATGCATAAGTCCGTTAGATTTCCAAACTGGCATGTAGATGTACTATTACTGTTACTGAGGTTCTTTTTATTTCTAAACCTGTAGTGGCTCCGAGAAGTCAGAGTTACGTAGTTGCTCCTAGAAGCTTTAAGCCCCTAGAAACTCCGAGCTTTAAAGTCCAAGCTTTAAGCTCCAAGCTTTAAGCTCCAAGTTCGAGTTACGTAGTTTCTCCAAGAAGCTCAGAGTTACGTAGTTTCTCCAAGTTCCGAGTTCCAAGTGCGAGTTCCAAGCTCCAAGTATAAGTTCCAGGTTATGTAGCTCCAAACAAGCTCCAAGTTTCTAAGTAAAGGCGGATTGTCCACGACATACGACAGGGAAGTACCGCTATTAGAATGTCACATGATCGAGACAATTAAACATATTAAATATCAATTCAACTTCATTCAATTAATTTTATTCATTAATTTTTCTAATTTAATCATTAATTATTAATTTACTATGTACAAATTCATTCTTTTTACTTTTTTTATTAAATGTATTAAATTTTCACTTTCTTTGATTTGCCAGAACTCATACAGATAACTAAGTACCAGAGACTGACTCAATTAAACAGGGCATATCAAATCAAGTTACTCAAAAAAACTTGGTGGCGCTCAACTTTTTTTTGTCGTTATCGTATTATAGTAGGTTTGTTCCAACAGAGCCTTTCTGATGTGTCTCTGACTCGTGCATGGATGCATTCGTAAACTAATCACTGCGCATGTCAGTCCGTTTATTCGTCCGTTGTTTCGACTTGTCCTTGTTGGAACGCAAAATGCAATGGAATTTGACAAACCAAACATAAGTTTGGTCAATTGGTATTTTAAAATTATTTAAAATACAACAACATACATTTATTTAGCTGTCTCGAACGCTCTATGTTAATGTATAATTTTGAAACATTAAGATTGTTTATTTTTATTAAAAATAAGTACGCATTTTACATAAAAAAGCCGCCCACAAAATAAAAACAAAAATTATTCATTTCAATTAAAAGCAATAGAAACCCAAGTCACTCCAAGCTAACATAAAATCCCAACAATTACAAAAAAATATCACGAACGAGAAGAGACGTTCAAATGCGTATGTGCTGATAAATTGTACAAATGATGAAGCTCTGATCGTTTTGACAATCCGTTGACTCATTCATGTACGAATCAGAAAATACGTTGGAACGTTTTACTGACAGTTCATCGGATCATCCGTGGCTTTGTAGGAACGGACTATTTTCAATGCGCATGCGTCTGACGTCCTTCTAATCAACAGATTCGCTGTAGGAACAAACCTAGTATATTTCATTTTATCGTAAAGTAGACTTTGGCCCGCGAACCGGTCAACCTACTCTAATTTCATTTGTCTGGTCAATTTATGAATCCACGCAGTATCAGCAAGCGCTGCTTTGTGTGACTAACTTGTAAAGAGATTGTAATGTAATATATGCTTTATAAAGGGAGTTCCCGAAAAAATTATTGTATTTGCGGAATTAAAAATCCTAAATATCGCCACAGGCAACAACGTGCCAACGCTGGCGTTGCGAGAAATTCTTGTACAATACCGGCAACTTTTCTTTGATTAATCGAGCTCACTGAGACTTTCCCGGAATGCGCATCCACATAAGAAAGAGTAGAGTCGAACTGAATCAATCGACGCACTTGAGAACCCCAAGTGATTTCAACAAGATTCAAAATTTAGTAGTTATTGTATAAATATTAGTAGTGTAAACCAGTTTAGTGATTTCTTCTTTTGTAAACATATTACAATAAAGACAAATTTTACAAGTCGCACGTGAAAGTTAATAATTATTCCATAAATTTGTGATGGATCGTTGATTAAGGAAGAAACCCGTTGGCTTAGGCCACTGTTATTTATTATAGGTATAAAAATATAACACATCAAAAAAATTAGCTTTTTTTTAACCGACTTCAAAAAAAGAGGAGGCCCTCAATTCGTCGGAATTTTTTTTAATGTATATTCAGCGATAATTCTAAATAAATTTGGTCAAGATCTAATAATGAGGTCCATAAGAAAATCATCAAATTCTTCATTTTTTAAGTATTTTCAGCGATAATTCTTTACCACATTTTCCGATTTCTATGATTTTTTTTGTTAGAAAAGAGATACCTTAGGGGTAGTTCCATATACTGATGATCTATGAAAAAATAAAAAATCTCAAGTTTTAAGGGCATCTGCACGATTTTGAAGTCGGTTTTTTAAATTACTTCTATAACTTGTATATCTACCTGTCTAAACAGTCTTCGTAATCTAAAACGGTTTTTTTAACCAAATCAGTATCATTACGGTTCCTGTATTCTTGAACTTGTTTGGTTAATTTTCTGAGCTGCTCTGTATGACGACTAGCAAGTTCATCCAGCTTTTGATACGCCTCGCTAGGCGACGTTTGCTGAGTTATGATGGAGTCCAAAAAATCGTACATGTACTATGAAAAAAAAAAAAAAAAAAATCGAATTACATATTTTTCACGTTTTTTAAAAACATCAGGAATAGAATACGACACACAACAATATTTTTTAATGAGTAGGAAATGAGCATTTCTTGCTAGTTGAACACTATACTTTTTCGATGGCTATAAGACGCTGCTACCCATTTTAACGAGTGTTTATAATTTATAAAATTAAAATAACACTATTATCTTCTAGATAAGTATTAATGTTTGACATGGCATACATGATTTTATTAAAATAATTAGGCAATGACTAATTTGTGTCATTAGATAAGGATCTGTATGGAAATGATTAATTTGTTTTATCAGTATGATTGAATAAGGAAATGCATCTCATTTCTTATTCAATAATAGTTGGGAAAGAGGAATTTTGTATTATGGCCGTAGAAAAAATAAAGAACAAAATAGGAAACTATTCAATATTGTCAATATTTCTATTCTATTTATAAAAGTAATGATAGTTTAAAGAGGAAGGACTAGAGTAGTTTGTGCAACAAGCGTGGATATGGACAATCCACTCGAGTTGTACAGTATATTTTTTCGACGACTCACTAACAAAAATCTACAAATTTAAAAAAAATATTTTAGGTTATTAATAAAATAAACATGACAAAAAATATTAAATTGAATTAGTCCCCAGCCCAGATTTAAACCCGGGCCTCTCGCGTGGAAGATAAACGCCGTGTCCTTGCCTACCTCGCCACACTTACGATTTTAGTTTTAATACTCGTAATTAAATTAATTTCATAGAGTTTGATTAAAATTTGAGTTTTATTTGTAAATGTGGACCAAATAAAAATGCCATCATTTAACGATTCTACACAAGAATAACTCATTTTTACGTATATTTAATCTCAATAAGTAAAATATATACTGACAATTAGTTTGACAGAATTATCACTTACATAAAATTAAAAAATATATGAACTGTGATTAGTGGGTTTATTTTTTTTGCAGTGTTCTTACTAGGTAGAATGGGTATGAAATATATTCGTTCAGTTGAACGCAATGGCATACTTTTTCGTTTTGAAGTCGGTGCGTAGATAAGCTTACATCCATGTGAGTGTATAAAAAATATACATATGGAACAGATTTATGCTACAACGAGCAGCAACTAAATATCAGTATAGGTATTTAGAATTCGCATACATACTTTATTCTTTATGGGATATTTCTTTGTCATTTTATTTATAATAAAACTTCCATGTTATAGACTCTTGTGGAACATTTTTCTGAACTATTTATTAATACTTACAGGCGTCAAGTACTTATACGTCAAATGAGCATTTTCAGCCAATATGTCAGCTGCCAAATCGTAACATTCGTGTTGACAGTACAACAAAAGAATATTTGCAAAAGTTTCCGGTGGAAACGGGTTCTGCTGCAGAAGAAACTGTAATTTTTCAAAACCTTCTGTCGGATTTTGGTCGAAATTCATGAGCGCCTGGTTGTGTAAGGTCACAGCGTCTAGTTCGTATTCTGCTCTTGGTGGCATGTCAGTTAGGGCTTCTTTTGCAGATTCAACTATAACAAAAGTAAAAAAAAATGATTTAGAGTCAATTGGTGAATAGCTATTTTGGGTATTAACACCTGAAAGTTATATTTTGCCGCTAGTGACAGAAAGTTTCCCACGAGGCAACGAACTTTTCGCTCGAATTGCACGCGATTTTTTGTCTACGATCACGTTCATTTAAGAAATAGGCAGTGACGGCCCGTAGTTAAAGGCATTGGGTGTTCTGCAAAATTCTGCCTCCTTCCCCCCAAAAGCAATTACTTTACTGCTTTTATTTATCTATTCTATTCTGCGGTCCTTTTCAGCAGCAAACTTATATGCGCTTTTAAAACATCTCTTTTCGTTTATCAACCCATAATGGAAGCGCGCCCTGGCGAATTAACACAAACTAATAATCTACAAAATCGAATAATATCACATGTGCGACAGACTATAAACAAATCTCGTCAATCTGGTCAAAATGCAGCCCAAACACTACCTGGCTTGGCGTTACTTCTTAGAGACGCGGGGAGGTGAGACGATGAGCGCGGGCGGCCCAAGTGATGCACAGACGGTCTCGATGCGATCCAGTTAAGAGATGAATATGATCTGGCGATCTTTTATCTTCCACTGGGCTGCTTTGGACTTACTCTTAGCTATGAAATTATAGTAGGATACATTCACGCAATAAGGATAATAATTAAAATTAATGAGATTAACCACAACATTATTTTACGTATACTTTAGAATGTCTAAAATAATTGCTGTGAAATGTAGATAAGATACTTGAATTTTTTTGGCAGTTCTGCAGCTCTACAGCACTTATGCATCTGCCGTCAGTGGAAATAGGTACCTAAAGTATATTTAAAAAATCATGAAAAATTAGTTAATGTTAAATATATAACAAAACAAAAACAGCTTATTACTACACACCTACAAATTAAGTTGAACAATCTATTTCCTACCTTGTGATCATAACAATCTTTTTAGTGGGTAGTGTTTGTAACTAGAATTTAATTTTGCTTAAGATCCACGTATATTGTAAAAATAGAGTAGAAATTAATTTTTATTTGCTATATACCGTTCATTTGTCTGCAAAATATATGTTTAATGTACATGTTTTTCGCTACGAGAAAGGCGTAATATAATTATATTGTTTTAATCTGTGTTCGGCTATTTTCTGGTAAGAAATTCAAAATGAGTATTTATTCTATTAAACCGTTCATATATGTATGTATATGTATTATGAGCTACTGTTTATTTAAAATCGTATTTGAAAACATAGTGGTTATACTGGATTTAATTCATACAATCCAAATATACAGTTAGATATATAAAATATATAGTGTCGCGCAAAGCCGACCCTGTTCTTTGTTTACTACCTTAGCCACGATATGAAGTCTACAGCTGGCCATAGGTATAGAGACAAACACACACCTTCGTGAAGCTACCGGAGAGATTGCTGTGCGGCGGTTGAGTCATAGAGAAGGAGTTCCCGGACGTTCTAGATCGCCGAGAAACTACTAGTGCAGAGCTGGCTTTATATAAATAGTGCGAGTTTGTTGGAAGATAAGAAATTTCAATTTAAGTGTTGGACAGAAAAGATAAATTGTAATAAACAAATTAAAATTATAAATAAACTGTTCTCAATAAATAAACTATTTTTAAATTAAACAATCGTTACAATAGAATATCCCATTTAAAAACCAAAACTGTAGAAATTTCCGCCGAAACCGAATTCGACCATATTGTATTTTGTAACTAAGTCAAATTATCGTAGTTTACATAATTTCACAGATACCCGTTCACATACAATGGAAATATCATACAGGAGCGGGGTAGGGACGTAGAAATATCATTAAAAAAACTGAATTGGTCTTCTAACTAAACGTGTATTCTGTTTCTTTTTTACATTTTATAAACAAATAAAACCAGACTTAATGAGATTGCAACGTAAACATAAGTAATTTTGTTTTGTCGTGTTTAGTTAGTAACAAATCTTCAACAATTCCTGTATTCCACGTTATTTCGTAAAACAAGAAATTTAATGAAACTGACCGTTCTTAGTTGCTTTTATGATAACTTATGTATGAGCTCTGACAAATAGGTCAGTGACATTGTTTTAGGAATACTACTTAAGTTATTAATGTTACTTTTATGAAGACTAGAGAGAAGGGGCGAATCGGCAATGATCAAATTTCAAATTTTCAATTTTCTATGTAAGTCAATGTAAAATGAAGTGATTTTTTAAAAAATTGGTGAAAAGAATCAAAATAATGTGAACAAAAGTACCTGAGTACAAGTAATATGAGTGACAAAAAAACATCAAAGCAAGATTTACGTCGTTCCAGATTGTAAAACAGGATAAAAATCAAATGTAAAACTAAAGAAAACACAAGAAGAAATCAACTTAATGTCCTTTTAAAGCTTCTTTTGTAAGTAAAATAATGTATTCATGTCTAAATATAATATTTATTGTAAACCAGTCACAATATGTATCTTACGATGTGTAGTTTATTTTATTACAAGTTTCTATAATATAAAATTTTACAGTCGTAAATGCTGACTTACAAACAACAATAATTATGCATTACATTTAACTTACTAGAAAAGAAAATTATTTTTTTATAGAGTTTTAATGTTAGATAAAGAGTTGCTACTGTTATTTTTTTGGGCCCCAATTATGTCATTTTAAATGTTTTTTATATGATACTAAACGTTTAGAACAGTGGCAGCATATATATCGTTCCTAGTGCCGATAAAGCACTTTCTAGTGATGATGCTGTTTTATATTTTTTAGAAGATATTATCAAATATTATGAGACTATTTTTACCGATGGTACTGTTAGCAAAATAAAAAGGGGAAAGCTGAAATTAAAGGATGAGGTAATACCATGTACATTCCCAAATCTCCCTTCATACTTGTATTACAACAATAAATTTTAGCATTTAAGAAACCTTTTCGAATTTGGTCATACATACTTAATTTGTATTTTATATAGATAAAATTAAATAATTTATTAATTAAAACATGCAAGACTTATTTAGAAATAAATACAACAGTATGTTCTGTGCTTTATTTAGCTATAAACAAGTTTATTTTTATTATTCTGACAAAATTATGTATAATTCCCATAAGAAGCCATGTATTTTAAACACCGTATGCAATACGCGCCCATGCGGTTAATTATAGAAGCTTTATTAGCATGCGTTTTTTGAGTATGCCGATTCGTCTCCTTATCTCTAGTTTTCATAGTTACTTTTTACCAACAGATGACTAGATATAGGTATAGATACATTTTTAAATATTGTCCTTACTGTTTTTTAACTGATACTCGATGGCTGCCTTCAAATTGAACGCTTCTGTGAGTGAAGTCTCGTGCAAAGTTATTGTGTTTCCGACAGATCGAACTTCAATGCCTTCAGTCTGCATTCCTATGCTGAGTTCAGGGTGGTCTCGAATGCCCTTTTCAATTATATCAGCTACAAACAGAAAACAATTTTAGAAAAGGTATTACAAAATATATAATCAGAAATATGCGTTATATTTTTTATGTTTTTAAAGTAGGCCTTGGACAAATTCATGTCTGAGCATACAATTTTTCTGTTCAATTTTAGATTTAATTCAGAACCGAGCGCAGTTATCACGGACATGACGTGTATATCTATCTTTGTCGGTCATGACTTACTTCAGAAACATTTTTGACAAATTAAGCTAGTGGGTCCTATGATTGAACGTTATGTTATCCGTAACGTACATGTTAGGTAGAGTTTTAACAGTAATGAGGCAAGTTCGTATGATGGAAAACTGTTAAATTAGAACATAACAGGCGGAAAACAGTAAAGGTGCCTATTCACATAAAGTTCGCCTGCACTTCTGTGACTGTACGATCTGATCTGAAGGTTTAAACTTTCTCAGGCCACACACCATTCAGTTAAACTTGAACGATGCAACCTCAGTTTTAAAACTGTCAATTCTTGAACTGCAGGAAAACTGAGCTGGCACCACACACACAAACATTTTTCGGTACTAATCGAACCATCCTCGGAACGATCCCACTGTAGTGAACAATGTTTTTAATAAATAGTAACGTTAGGAAAAAAGCTTAGCTACACTTCTTGTACTTTTATTATTGCTGGAGCCAGTAACAAAGGCAAAAAAACGTTTTTGGTTAAAAGACTGGCGATACATTATCTCATATGAGGTAGGTGCGAAAACTAGGAACTAGTGCAACAGAAGACCTTAAAAACTACCTTAGAATGGATGATACATATTTTAAGGAACTTTTAAACATGGTTTAGCCCTTAATATCAAAGAAAAATACAAAAATGAGAAAAGCAATTACAGCCGAAGAACGATTAATAGTGACACTTCGATATTTAGCAACAGGGCGAAGTCTGGAAGATTTGAAATTTTTGGCTGTCATTTCACCCCAAGCCCTTGGGAAAATAATACCAGAAACTTGTAAGTGCATTTATAGGGCCTTAAGGAAAAAGTATTTAAAAGTAAGTGAAATTAACAAAAAGTTATCTTTTTTATTTAACATGTGTCCACAAAAAAAGATATCTATTCCTATTCGGTAAATAAACATACAAATTCAAAATAAAAATATTAAATCACTTTAGTGCGGTTTTATAATTTTGGAAAAGTAACAAATTCTGACAACTTCTGCTGGTAAGTTTCCTGGAGATCTGGATTATGTTCGCTATAGATGTCAAATGTTGTGGCACTGGAAGGTCCTGCTGAATCTTCTTGATAGTTGTAAGTGGTTACATTTCGAGATCTGCTTGTACTTTCTGCAGAATAATTATTATATACACTAGGTTGATTTGGATTGGAACTTTGATTATTTAACGGAGTATGAAATGAGTGAGGACGAGGAACATTATTTGTATTTAAAACAACATCACTGTAATCATTTAATTTGTTTTGAATTCCAAGAAGAACAATTTTATTTATTAAATGCTCTGCATATGCTTCTTGAATTTCATTCATTCTACGTAATTTGCAAGCAACATTATTTCCAACTGCGTCATATTCATCCTGGTTTCATATTCATAAGGTTTCGCATGCTTTTTCGATTAGACTTTCCCTTGACCTTTTTTTGTTTGTTCTATTGATAGTAGCTGTTGAAGTCCTACTTGGAGTTCGGGATGGTGGCTGGGATATTGATGAAGTTCTGCTGGGAGTTTCTGAGTGTCTTTCAATTGCTGGTGTACCAGGCGTATCAAGTAGTGAAAAAGTTGTCTCGTCATTTTCCACAGTAACATTGCTATCACTTTCCGGTTCATCTATGTCGTTCTAAAACAAAATTTTAACAAAAATGTGGTACTTGAATGTTGAAAGCATAATTTTTGTTTTAGTTTCCGAATACTGTTGAAGAATGCGGAAAAATTGCCCGAGATTATAACAGTAGATGAAATTTTCCTAATTGTGGGGCGCCATCGATGGCAAACATATAAAAATAGTGAAGCCCGCCAACAGCGGATCTTATTATTTTAATTATAACGAGTATTTTAGTATCGTTTTAATGGCTATCGTAAACCCAAATTATGAATTTATTTATGTAGATGTTGGCTGCAATGGACGAGTTTCGGACGGAGGCGTCATTGAAAACACAAGGTTTTATGACAAGCTAATGGAAAAAATATTGAAACTACCTTCTAATGATATAACAGTAGACAAAATGAACTTCGTTTTTGTAGCTGATGATGCTTTTGCATTACACGAGAATATTGTGAAACCGTTTCCTGATAAAAACCTGAGTAAAGAACAAAGGATATTTAACTATCGTGTCAGTCGAGCTCGACGCACAGTAGAAAATGCTTTTGGCAATTTAGCCAATAGATTTAGAGTTTTTCATACGTCAATTAATATGAAACCAGAAAAAATTGACCAAATAGTATTAGCGGCAATTGTTTTACATCATTTTTTGAGACGAAAGGCAATTATATTTCCAAAAACTACGTGGATTTTGAAGTTTTATACTGAAGACATAGTAAAAGGTGACTGGCGCAATGGAATGGTGCTTGATGGTTTGAAGCCTATTTTAAATCGCAATTCATCTCGCGAAGCTAAAGAGAATCGGGAGGTTTACAAGAGTTATTTTTCAGGGACAGGATCAGTTCCATGGCAAGATAATTTCTTATAAAAATAATTTAACTTTTAAATTAACAAATATTTCATGAATTTAATGTAAAACGTTAAAATAAATTCAATTCAGACATTATTTATTTGATTTATTTTTTTTTTACCAGTTTTCAGTAAAAAACCTATAGACAAGTATTTCCTCGTTTGGCTGCTAGTTTAAAATAATTCTACAGTATTTTTAATATGTATATATGATAAAAACATAGATACCTACCAGTGTACAAAAAAATCAAGATTTCCTTAAAAAATCAAAAAATTGATCGAAAAATCGAAAATCAGATTTTTTTGATTTAAATCAGATTTTTTTTAAATCGGATTTCCTTAATATAATTAACGGCTTATTTCCACCTAAAGTCAGTAAAAGAGATTTTGTTTGGAAATGTTCGAGGTCGAGAATCTGATGAAACTGAAAATTGAAGTTACTAATTTCAGTTTTCAATTTCATCAGATCCGACGTGAGTTTTACATGGTAGTTGTTTTTCGATTTATTAAAAATATTTAAACATTACAACAGCAAGTGTAACAATTTATTTAATCAATAATTATTAAGTATATGTGTTATATGAATTTTTTGGTTTTATAACTTCTACAGTTGTTTTTCAATTTATTAAAAAAATATATTTAAAAATATTTAAACGTTACAAAAGTGTAACATTTTATTTAATGAATAGATTGTATGTATATGTGTTATATCAATCATTTTTTTAGTTTTATAACTTTTACAGTTATTTTTCGATAAGTACTTAAACAAGTTGACTTTTTTGATTAAAATCCCACGATTAAAATAAAAAATCGGCCGATTTAAATCACTATTTAAATCTTGATTAAAATCAAGTTGATTTAAATCTTTGCACCCTGATACCTACTCTTTTATCCCACTGTTATCTTGATCACATTGACATAACGCATAATTTATTCATGCAAACTTACCTCAGTTTCAGCTTCTTCATCACTTTGAGTGTCATTTGAAACTGACGCTCGAGGCTCTTCTTGATCCGCCGTAAACATCAACATTTTAAAGTACCACAATGTAGGCACATAAATGTTATTAGAGGTTTCACCTGTTCGGTTTGATTTTCTCACTTTTTTCAGTTCTTTTCGAGAAGCACTTCGTAAATTATTAATTTTTTTTTGACAGAATCAACTGTTGCATTTTGATCCACAGTTTTATAAAACTCTAGCAATTTTTCATAGGCTTTGTTTTTTTCTTGTCTGTTTGAATATGATTTACTTTTTATTTTCCAAAGACAAGGAAACTGTATATAAATCGATAAACTCGCTTACAAATGTGGTATTATGGCCTAGATCTGTCATCTTTGCTACAAAAACTTCCAACTGGTTTGAAAATCAAAGCGTACGATTCGGCCTGTCGAATTTCATCCATACATTTCAGTCCGTTGTGAGATTCAAGTAAACTGCAGGCTCAGACCTGTCGACGACCTGTATGTGTATGGATAAATTTTAACTGCCGATTTGCAAATCGACAGTTCTGGACTGAAGGCGAACTGTATGTGAATGGGCACCTTAATCTGTTGGAAACATTTTTCCATCATACGAACTTGCCTCGTTACTGTTAAAACTCGGCCTAACATGTTCGTTACGGATAACGTAAACGTTTAATCATAGGATCCATTAACAGGAAGTTTTTTAACAAAACATGGTACCGATATCTCGTCTTTTTTTCATTAATCGAGTGGGATCGCATCATCTACATACATTAAGGTTGAACCTTGATACAGAAAATTACCCTTCACTTCAAATATAACGGATGTCTTATAATGAAATTTGTTTTTTAAATGGATCTTATACAGACCCTGTGCAATTATATAAGGTCATTCCAAGCAGATAAGTACGGACTTTTAGTGATCTCACTGTACTTCTTTGAAGATGCAGCTGGACGCAATGTAACTGCAAGAAAAGTAATGTATGTCGACATAGTACGAAATTTATTACATCTAGCATTACATTTTGCGGTTTACAATGATTGCAGGTTCCAACAAGATCTGACGTCTTTGAATTTTTTGTGGGTGTCTACATAATATTGTTACGCAGCACCCTGCAGTAGCCTGCGGCTGTTATAGGAAACGTACGAATTGAAAAAGAAGTGGAATGCTACTCATCGCCCTACAGTGTGCTGCGGTCGTCATAAGTAAAAGTACAAGTAAAAGAAGATAGAATAGTCCAGAAATATCTGGAAATGTCATTACCCGTCAAGAATATTCTAGACGACAGTTCGAGAAGGTTCGAGAAGGGTCAATCAAGATATATAAGGATGATCCTGACGTTAGTTTTAAGTTTTATGACAGACGTTACATGTTAATGTTATCAGTTGAATAATTTGTTGTTAAAGGTGAGTTGAAATAAATTGCGATACCAAAAACCTGTGTAACATTGGTGACAGTGGTGGGATACAAAGTTAAAGTTCATGGTAAATACTAGATACAATGAGTACGAAGCAGGCATGGATACTTCAGGCCCACCAGCATGGTTCTTGAAGATGGAAGAGGAAAAGGAAAGGCGTAGGAAGGAAGAAGAGGAGGTAAAGGAAAGGCGAGAAGAGGAGAAGGAAAGGGGTAGGAAGGAAGAAGAGGAGGAAAAGGAAAGGCGAGACGAAGAAAAGGAAAGGCGTAGGAAGGAAGAAGAGGAGGAAAAGGAAAGGCGAGAAGAGGAGAAGGATGAAGAAAAAGAGAAGGAGGAAAGGCGTAGAAAAGAAGCGGTTGAAATTATTAACGGTTTGCTACAAATCCAGGAAACCTTCAAGCAAGAGGTTAGTCAACTTAAAATTAGATTAGATCTGTTAGAGCAACAAGAAGAGCATCTAAAAGCTAATTTAGAACAGCAGCAAGAGCATTTAAAAACTAATTTAGAACAACAACGAGATATTTTAAATCAACAGGAAAAGGCTAGAGTAGAGTTCGAAAGGCAAATTAGAACTGAACTGGTTGATTTAAAAAGAAGAATTCGTAGCCCAGCTTCGATAAGCAACAGAGAAACTGAAAACACTACTACCTCGTCTTCATCCATAACCGAACAAAAACACATTCGAATACCAGTTTCACAAAACTATACTAGCAAGACCCTTAAGCCACCCACGTTTGACGGTCAGACAACATGGGAAACATATCGACTCCAATTTGAAGCTGCAGCTAGAGCCAATGGCTGGACCGAGAAAGAGATGGCGGCTTCATTGATAGTGTCACTGCGAGGTCAGACAGCAACCGTTTTACAGTTACTTCTTCAAGAGGAACCCAGTTATTCATATCTCGTCCAAGCTTTGGAGACAAGATATGGCCAGCAGCATTTGCAACGGGTATTCCAAAGCTAGCTAAAGGTTCGTAGTCAGAAACATAATGAGAATCTACAGGAATTCCAGGCTGACATAAGAAGGTTGATTCATCTGGCCTATCCACAGGTGCCGAAAGATTTCCAAGAACAACTCGGAATACAAGCATTCATTGATGGACTACAAGATGTGGAAATCCAGCAAGTCCTTTGTCTACAACATCACAAGACGCTGAGGGAGAAACTGATTGCAGTCCAGGAATATGAAGCGGTAAAACTCCTATCCAGATCTTCTCGCGCAAAAGTGACGGAAATTAAATCCCGCAGGAAAGTGAGGAGGCCAATACTAATGCTATTCCCCAAATCTTAAATATCCTCCGAAATATGCAACGAAACAGCCAAAATTGAAGCAGGAGATGCTTCAATTGCGGAAGAATCGTATGCTGCGGTCGTCATAAGTAAACGTACAAGTAAAAGAAAATAGAATAGTCCAGAAATGTCTGGAAATGTCATTACCCGTCAAGAATATTCTAGACGACAGTTCGAGAAGAGCAAAGCAAGCTATATAAGGATGATAGACGTTACATGTTAATGTTATCAGTTGAATAATTGTTGTTAAAGTTGAGTTGAAATAAATTGCAATACCAAAAACCTGTGTAACAATATTAACCAACTCACCCAGCAGAATAAAGCTTAGACGCTTAATTATATTTAGACGTGAGTTAAATAAAGAGAGTAGCTCTCGACTCGCTTTTCTGCCTGTCGTAATTGAACGCACCTCTATCGGTAGTGAGATAGCATGTATATGGTCAGTGTCGGGTTGGGACCTCTAGGGTCTACCGGTCAGGACGGAGAAGGGCCCACCTTATAGCTGTGGTAGTAGCATTGGTTGTCTGTACCGTTCTCTGGAGAGAGGCTTCAAAAGTTAACACACTGTATATAGTAGTTATTAGTAGAAATTTAAGTTTATTTAATACTGAGAACTGAAATAACTGGTTTTAAATTATTGTATTTAACCTACCTATCAATGCAGCTACTTATTCTTGTACTTTATGAAATTTGATAGGAGGTTTATTTTCATCTGCGTCCACTTGCCTAAATTAAAAAAAATATATAATTTCACGAGCTCGTTCACTTAGAAAGCATTTATTTCAGCACTTATATTTGACAACGTCTCAAAATGCACAACTTCTAGTATAATGTATTAAGTTTCAAGTGAGTAGATCGAAAAACTGGAACGAACTGAGATCCGCTCTTATATACACTGCGCATATGACCTTGGCGGCTTCAGCTATATCCGTCATATTGTATTCGAGCCGATATTCGGAACATTCCTATGAATATGTGTTAACTAGCCTTTACTAGTTTATGGTCCACATTGGAAGAGTGCCAGGAACAAGATGGTCAATATTTAAAAGATTTTATTTAGACAATAAAACATTGTGATCTTAAATTTTTAATTAATTTTTTTTTAATGTAGGGCAACGGAGTTTTATTTATTCAAAAATTGAATAATGAGGCACTCTTTACTTTATTCAGTTGCCGTCTTCACATTGTTTTTTGCCTCCGCATGTCTTGAGCCATTTGCAGGTCTGTTTCAACAACGATCCGAAACCAGTCATTGACTCCAGGATTCTGTTAAGTAGATTATTTAGACCGGCAAATTTATACTGCGCACAATCCTGATGTCAATGACTGGTTTCTGATCGTTGTTTGGACATACCTAATTGGTTTGTATACAGTTTCTATCCATAGCTCACCGCGTCACCTTCTTGGCACCCTGTCGTATGTCTTTTTCATATCAATAAAAATCATATGCCTATCCATTTGTTTATATCTGTATTTTTCCACCATACAAAATAGAACAAGTTCGAAAAAAAATTTTTATGTGTTTGTATAGGAGTCTAAATAAATTCAGAGAAATATTTCAACTTTTTATTACATTTTTACATGAAGTGGTAAAAGTGAAAAATGGTCAATTTGATTTCCCTTGTTGTGGCGTTAAATCAAAAAAGAATTTTATTACACACGAAAAGACTTCAACATATGGGCTAAAGGTCATGCTTATTAAATAGGAACGTTTTCAGGGTTGGTGGGGTCGATTTATATTTGTTAAATTCCACTTTGTAAACTTACTCTTACCGCAATATTTTAGAGACGAACCATATTCCTTCAATCTGTAATAGCACAGGGCCGTATTGTAAGCTAGAAAAGGTTTGAATCCCTGATTTTGTAGAGCGCTTGTGAATTTTGTAAGTGCTTCTTCATAGCTGCCATCCTGAAATAATAAGAGTACTAAAGACCATTTAAAATTTTAATTTAAATTCCAAGATGCTATTATAGAAATAAAGTATTGGTATAATATACCGGGTGTTCAAATTAAAGTGTTACAGTTAAATACCGCTGAAAATATGCATTTTAGAAAAAACAGTTTTAGACAAAAGTTTTATAGTTTTTTGGGGGAAACATTTTGGCCAAATGCATTTTTTTATAGCTGACCACAATATGGCCATATCGAGGTGGACTTTGTTTTTTTAAATGGGAATCCCATTTTTTTTATACATATTCTTAAAGTACATAATAAAATAAGAAACTTTTGATGAAAATATTTTTTTTATTGGACTTTCACTTTTTGAGTAATAGCTACTTGAAAATTTTGCTAGGCGAAAAAAAAGTTAACCAAATTATGGTTAGACTTTAATGTGGAGTGTTCGACTATCGGTAAAACGGAACTCGTTAAGGTGTGCGGACTCTCAAAATAAAAATGTGTTTACGTCAATAACTTTTGAGGAGATATTGTTTTTAGTTATATTTTGTTTAGCTGAAAACATTTTTTTCTTTCAGGGTAGATTTAAGGATAAAGCTCGAGTCGAGGCTTTGGCCGTCGGGGGGCATGTCACGCTAAACAAATATCACCCTATATATAAAATATACATTTTCTATTTTAATATACATTCGTTAAATTAAACAATTGAGAATAATATTTTATATAATATTTTGATAAACAGATGCAATTCATGACTACATTCTCGAAAATGTAAATATAACATTAAACTAGACACGTACTGACCTTAATCGATTAATATAAAAATCGGCTAGGTCAACAATAATGACACTCTTGGCCGGAGTCTCATCCAAGACTCTTGGTCGGAGTCTTATCCAAGACTCTTGGTCGGAGTCTTATCCGAGACTCTTGGTCGGAGTCTCACCCTAGACTCTTAGTTTGAGTCTCATCATCGTCTTGCATCCCATTAGAATAAGTGACGTGACGTGCCCTCGTCGGCTTTAGATGTTTAGCCCTTGGTAAGGCTCTTTTTATATTATTGTAATATTTTGGATATATTATTTTATCTTTAATAAATTGTTAATTGTTGTTCTGCTCTTTTATTTCCCCGAGTCAGGTAGCACATAGAGTTACTAAATAAAGTAGCTTGTGACAATAGCTTGATTTAAATGATATAAAAACATTTTCATTCCATCAATCTTCAAATTAATTAAACTATGACTACAGAATCTGTAAGATATAGTAATGTAATGTAATTTTCTACAGATTTTGGCTTACAGACCTTATAGATTGTCTCAGAATCGACCCATTCGATAATGTATTGGAATAGATACGCTTTGTTTACATAAACAATTGTCGTATGATAATAAGGTCCATAATCGCATGCACAACAATGTTTCGATTAAACGTATAAGGATAATAATGATTAGTTCCTAATGTTTCGAGGTTCAAGATACTTAATATGGAGCTTAATATTTAACAGTTCATTCAAGAATCTGGATCATATTCATAAAATTTCTCATTTAATTTTTTTCTGTATTGAATCGGTGTTTAAATTAGATGTCTTTAGATTTTGTTCACTAGGATACATCGGTTTAACCATTTAATACTATATTTTAACTGAACATTTGGCAAACCTGTTTGTGTATGTTTTTAAAAGTGTTGTTAGGTGTTTTATTTTAGTGGAATATTCTTGTTTTATTTATTTATATAAAAGAAATTGTCTACAAACGTGATTATACATTTCAAAATAGTAAAGAGATGCATAGTTTACCGAACATTTTGGACCAAAACTACCCAGAACCAATGCTCGCTATTTTCACAGGTAGGTTATGTCAAAATCAATCTCATGAAATGTAAATAATGTAGATATACATGGACGTAACAACTGTGCTAGAGTTTTATTTATTTCTTGATATAAAAATACCTTCTTGTAGAAAATGGTTATTTTATGGTATATACATTTACAGGTTTCCGAGAGACATTGTCCAATGTCATTGTGGCTGAACAACTTGAAAATAATTGAGGAAGATCTAAAAACTCAAAGATGTCCAAGTTTGTTCAGATCACTTTTCAACTGAAGATTTATTTAGCTACAATAATCGAACATTTTATTTGAAATGATATGTTTTGTCAATAGAGTAAGTAAACAAGTGTCTTTATAATATACATATTGATATAGGTAAAAGGTAATTTATAAGTATATATTGCAAACGTCTACTTACACCTAGTTAAACAATTCTTTTTTTGAAACTAAGTATTATTGATGTCTAAAATACTGTGAAAATAGCTTAGAACTGTTGTTTCCCAGTTGTAGTTTAATAAACACAAAGTAAACTTTTTTGAATGTACTAAACCCATTATTGAAAACGTATTAAAACGTATGATGATTATATTCGCTCAGTGCGAAATCATGGTAGGGGAAGCAAAAGCGATACTAGCGCAAGCTGCAGATAATTCGACCACTTTAGGGCAATATTTTGTAATTTTGGCGTATCAAATACACGTATACATTTTACTTTTTTTGCAAAAAAGAAGTAAGAACAATGTAATAAGCAACCGTAGTTGGTGTGTACTAGAAGTAGAATCTCCCAAGATATTTATTTATTTATGGTTATCTTCTAAAAAAGTAAGTTTTCACTTCTTTTACAAAATAAATTATTTTTAAATTCTAAGATATTTTGTAATTTATTATTTTTTTTTAATTTATTCGGGTTCTGTGAATAAAAAAAGGAAACATCAATCCACGTCCTGCACCAATGTGAAAGCCTAACTAGATTGAGGTTTCTAATACTAGATGAAGAAAAGCCGGACACATGTAACTACATGCATGTGGATGCCACTGTCAAGGAAACTAAGTCTAATATTAATGTCCAAGCTTAGATGACATACTCTAAAACAAACGGAGTCCCACAATAGATCTGAAAAGATCGCGGTGGACACGGACAAATAATGTCAAATTCCTTTTAAATCTAATATCTAATCTACCCTTATTTTTGGTAAGCCTTTTTTATACAATTAGCTATCGCATCGGAATTTTTAATAATTTTTATGTAAAAGTCTTAAGTATTCTAAGAAATTCTTCATGTATTCGTTTAATTGAGCATTTAGAAGCAAATTGATATGAAAATATTTATTATTCGCGCTCATAAGGAGCCTATATAATTGCAAATGATTACAACGTTGCCAACTATCAGTTAAAATGTTGAATATTGCATAAAACTATGGAAGTGACTCTTCTTTCGAAATATCATAATTCAATTTCAAGACAAAATATTTAAAACGATAAACCCCCTTGGATTATGAAGGAACATAATTATGTTCTCATATGCGCGGGGTACTGCCTAAATATAACCAATGGGTTTTGAATTGTAAACAATTTGAATGCAGGTAAATATACTAAATACTTATGGTATCTAATACCAACTAATTTCAAATCAGTTGTTTACATGTAGTAATTATTAAGGTAGTTTACGCGCGACAGTCGTACACAAAAATATCGCCAAAAGTTTGAGATTCTCAATGCTGAAAAATGTTATTTTTGTAAGAGACTGAACACAACCGTGTAAGCTTATGTACGGATACGTTATTATTCCAAGTAAAATCCATCCGGCAATGTTACAAATATATGAATGGTGCGCTATCAATTGTATACCTATAGAAATTTATGACTTCCTCATACTAATTTTAAGGGTTTGTTTTGGTTCAAACAGAACCGTCGATTCCAATTCTCAAATGCAGTAGACAAATTAATTTTTCAAGAACACGTCACGAGGTTATAACAATCTCTTAGCTGTAATTAGTGTAATTCAGTAATTCTGAACTAACAATGTTGCCAAGTTGTAATCATTGTACCCCACTACGCGTCGACTGCTTTAACAAAATTTTTATTTTAAAAATCTATATCTTTTTACCAAAACGGTCAGAAAGTTCAGCGTTTTTTAGAAAATTTTATAACTTCTTGATTTACATTACATTAGTTTTTAAAAAATATAGTAAGAACCGTTTTCGAGATATCTTGAAATAAATGCATTGCTTGTGTATATGAAGAGGCTTTAAGACTTTGAATTATGCACAATTTCATTGTTAATATCTCGTTTCACAGTCGGTCAAAAAAAAATGTTTTTTTAGTCAGGTACGTACGTACGATTAACCTTATATTTCAATTTTATTGAATTCTTAGGAAAAGCCGTTTTACGAATGTACCTATTTATTGTAGGTTTTTATTTGTATTTAAATTTTTAAAAAATAGCCATCTATCCAAATAAAACCGTTTAAACAAGGAATTTCTATTATAGGGATTTAAAAAAATATATTGTCAGAAAATTTCAATAAATTAGTAACACCACTTCATGCATTGTCAGAAATGTTAAAATAGAGAACAAACACAATGCCAGAGACAACTAATGAGACGGTTAACTTAATGCAATTTTGCTTTTCACCAAGAATTGACTGGGCGATTGGACTGGAAGATAAGGCCGATGGCGCTGGTATACCTTGTGCTTTAATAGTGGCCTTTTTCTTTATAGGCAACCAGTCAATTAAAAATTTTTCTTAAAAAAAAAGAAGAACCGCGGGAAATTCAAATATGTAGATCCACTTTATCTATTATTTTTATGATTTTTTTCTGATTTGATGCACTGAATATGTGAATAAATATGTAATTCACATTTACTAGCACATCAGAAAAATCAGAAAAAAGAAATCATTTTTTTTAGGCACACAAAATAAAAAGCATTAAAAAGGAAAATAAAACGAAGTATGATTTTAATAATAAGATATATTCTGTATTAAACAATAATAAACATTCACACCACAAAGGTTCTACAATAAAATTGAAATACTTACTTTACGGAAATTAAACAAAATCCCGGCGTGATCCGGGCATTGTTAGTTCCTTCGGGTTTGTAAACAAACTTAAAACTACCTAATATAAAAACACCACGATGAAAATGTCATTCACCGGGGAAAACACTAAACTAACAAATTTAAAAACGTAACTAATAATGAATGAAAAACAACCAAAAAATGAATGTACAAGTTAAATTGTAAAATATATATAAGTAAAACGAAACGAGAATAAAACGACACCAAAGTCACCAAACATAGAAACAAAAAAATAGGACTAAGATAAAATGACAGGTTAGAAATACGTCAATCTGGCAGACGTCAAAGTGAAATGCTCGTGCTGTGATGCCAAACTTATTTTCTTCTAGTGCTATTGGCCTTCTAGCATTCAGTAGTTAGCTACCCAAAACTTTTTATTTTTGATCTTTGTACACAATCCTGCTATATATTTTTTAAAACACATCTTTTGTTATATATATTATACACAAAGAAATTAAAAGTCCAATATAAGTATTACTTACGGATAAATAAGATCATCATTATTTAAATGTAAAAGAAACAAATTTGGAACATGTTCATAATGGCAACATTGCTGGAACGTTACCAGCGACATCTACCCTATCTTTTAGCTTATGAGAACAAGATAACGTTATAAGGAAATAATGTACATGACAAAGATAAAATACCAGCTGACCCTGATGACTACTATATCTAAATGTCAATCAATTTTTGCTATGAAGTTAACCGTCTCGTGTTCTGACAATGCCATTATTTCTTCTGTTCCCTCTAACTTGTGTACGGCAAAATTTTGCTACAGTACTTTGTAAATAATAAAGTTCATTAATCTTCGTATTTGTGTATTACTATTTTTGGTTGATAAATAAAATGCTTTAATTGGTCTTTATTTTATTTTATAAAGGAAGGTATGTAGTTAGAAATATGTATAATATTCTTGCTTCACATATAAAACGGGTTCTTCACAATATTTTTCTATTTTCTTTTCTACTTCATCAGTCAAGCTTTATAGTAGGTATATTTACTCAAAATGTATATAAATTGTTTAAAGTACAAAATTAATAATCTTATAAAATTGAGTAAATAATATACAAAATGACAAGCCTGTGCATGATCTATGTAGTATCACAATACTGTGAAATAATATTCTTACATTGAAAGTTAAAAATATACGCTATAAAACAATATTTTTAAAATCATGTCCATCCGCATTCATCTAGCATTTTATAGTAATTAACAATATATAACCCCTTTCATACGGTACGGCACTGCCAAGTTTTCCGTTTATGTGCCTTTCCCACTGATGCCTTTCCTCTCTCCCCGTCTAGATAATCATTAAACCCACTACTTCCACAGGTAAGGCGTATCTATCCTAATACATGATCGAATATCGACACATAAGTCGCCATTTTGATTACACTTTTCATCACTCGAAGTCATTGAGATAGAATAAAGAGGAGATGCTATGAATACTGAACACATACTTTGATTACTATACGGGGCAAGAGCAATGAACTGGAGTGGGGTAGAATGCTTGTCAATAGGCTTGAGATGCGACTCTATGGGCGAAGACAGGTTATTTTTCATCTCACTCGGGATTATTTATAACGACCATTTCCTATTTCACTTTGTTATTGTCTGATCCACCAGCCTGTGGATTGAACAATAACAATGTGAAACAGAAAATGGTTATTATAAATACTACCGAGTGAGATGAGAAATAAAAATGGCTGCGCCCATAGAGTCGTATCTTGTTCAATTGATAAAATATGCACATTAGCTTTCTACCCCACTCCAGTTCATTGGGCAAGAGAGAGGTCCGACAGGCCCAATATAGGGCGCGGCCATTTTGATTCCTATGACACAGTTTATAGCTAAAGAATCAGATCGCTCACTCTGCTTCGGCACTTTTGATCTCAATGTTCCAGTTTAAACACTGCGCAACTCAGATAATACAATATATGACAACCGCCTATAATAAAACAGCAGTCTTCTGCGTATCCTGAATTTGTATCCCTGGAGTGGATGTTATTTTGGAACTTTCAACTGGTCCGAGTGAGCTAACTGATTCTTTAGCATCATCCGCTTCTGCTTCCAGAATTGTCGGTTTAGTCGTTTTAACCTGTCAGATTAAAACAAGAAAAACGACAATTCCGAAGCAGAAGCGGATGATTAAAACGCACCTATTAAAAATATTGCGCCAAGATGTAGGCAACACGTAATAAGGGATCAAAATGGCGGAGTTTTCTATCTCCTTTTAAAAGGCACTCAGAAAGCTGCGCAGTGCGACCATTCTCCGTATAGTAAAAGAAAATCAAAGTATGTGATCTCGATGCTCGAAGTGCGTCCACTTGTCATATCGCAAAATAGTATTTATATCGTCTCTAATTCATTCTATCTCGATGGTCGGGTAGCTAATATCAAGAGCTAATATAATCCTTGTGACAGAATAACATAAAAAAACCAAATTTAAATAGGTACTCCTAACTTCTAAGGAGCAATTTTAGCTACTAAAAAAGGAAAACCTATTTCTTACTTTATATAAGAGACATCCCAAATTGACGTCTCTATCTGGGTCGTTCGGATTTGAGATTTCGACTAAATTTTTGGCAGATAAAACGTCCTCTTGGCTATACTTGATAGCCGCCTGCAATTTTGTCACTCTCTCATTGTAATCCGGTTCCTCTGCCAGCTTGTTGCAGGCCTGATAAGATTCTTCGTATAAACAGGCTAAAAATATCATGTTGTTTAAAAATTTTTATCGTAGTTCCTTAGAAAGTTTATAAAGTCTCAGCCAAAATATTTCAGTTTCATTCAGAATGGGACATAGAACAACTGCAGATTCTCTGATTAAAAATAAGAATATTAAACGAAAATTGCTTAGATAAAATATTACTGGTTTCCGAAATACAGGATGTTAAAGTTGAAAATTCAAAAATTATTAATAGCTATAATTTTTTTCAGTATAATTTTACTAAAATCGATATACATTGTTGATGTCATAAGATACACCTATCAGCAAAACAATCAGCTAAATAAACTTCACCAGTGGCGTACAACACGGATAAGTAACACTTTCATCCACTTTAAATATTACGCCACTCACTGTCCAAAAACTCATTTGGACTATTCTTTTAAAATAAATTATGTACTCTTGTTGGGAACTCATAAAGTGATTGTTTTTCGAGATATTCACACTCAAAGGTGGATCATTTTATTTTATTTTTTAATTTTAGATTTTTTTATAAATTCTCAACAAGAATACATGATTTATTTAAAAACCTTGAAAAAAAAATCAAATTTATAGTCCAAATAAGTTTTTGGAGAGTGGCGTAAAATTTAGAAGGAATGAAGGTGTTAGTTGCCCGTGCAGTACGCCACTGGCAAAGTTTATTTGCTGATTGGTGACACCAAAAACGTTTGCTCAGTGCAATTTTATAAAAAAAAATCAAAATTACAAAATTAAAAAATACATTAAAATGAAGAATATCCACTTTTGAGTGTGAATACCTCGAAAACCAATCACTTTATTAGTTCCCGAACATGAAAACATGTAAAAGTATAGTCCAAATAAGTTTTTGGACAGTGGCGTAAAATTTAGAGGGGATGAAAGTAGATTAAAATATTAAGTCTAAGTATAGTTATTATCCTTCATTTTTTTAAATTGTATTTCTTGAAAGGGCAGCTCCAGGACGAATTTTCGGGATGGTAATTGCCATTAGCCATTCCTTTTTAAGCTTATTCTTTTAAATAAAAGGGTCAAAAATTGTAAGAATTTTCATTTAGGGGGGAGGGAGGCTATGGACCTTCATAGCCTCTGGAGCCTCAATTGATTTCTTGTACTTTGTTTTAAACCTGATTGAAGAAAATTTTATTATTTATTTTTAAGAAAGAAGTATTGAAATGTATCAAACACCCTGTATATGTTTTTCTATTATTTATCATTATCCGGAACGATAATAATGATCTTGTTTTGAATGTCTAGTTTACTTAATTTTTGTTTATAATAAAATTTTCTATTAAGTCTGTTCAAATTCCAAAATATTTATTTGTCAATTAGTTAATAATATGTATTTAATTTAACCAAAACAAGAGTAACTATTCTTTCTCGCCGAATATTTCATTATTTCAAATTCAAAAAATTTCACACCTTTATTCTCTTTCTACTAAATAATAAAGAATTTTCGGTATCAATGTAGACAAAAACGAAGTACCTAAGCAAAATTTTTCTAGTTTTATTGCTACAACGAAAATAAAAGTTTGTGTTGCAAGAGTGAATATAGACAACTCACCTGAGTTGTACAGTATATTTTCTCTAAGACCCACTAACGAAAAACTTCAAATTTTAAAAATTATTTTAGGTTATTAAGATGAAATAACTAATTTAAAAATATTTTAGCATTGATATAGATAATTTAGGTCTAAATATTGCACATCTTCCCTGCTACGCGCCACTGGATTTATTGTTTAATATGATTTTTAAAAAATCCGAAAACAAAGTACATAAACTCTTTAGAAATTCCTAAATAAATTTTTCAAAATTACCCCTACGAAATAATGAAAATTTTTTTGAATCTCTAAAGTAAAAACAAATTTATTGGAAGATTGAAAAATACTCTGTTCCCGGGAATATATTCGAACCCACCACTTTAGTGGTTTACTGAAAAATTGAGATTATTCTGTTACCATATAAGATTAGAATCTATTTCAGCACCTCAAAGGTCAGGTGTTTTAAGTCGCATTTTTTAGAGAAATGAGTTTTCTCCACGTGTGGATTTACCGTACTAAATTCTATCTAGTGGAAAACAGATATAACTCCCTAGTTGCATAATTTCGCCAAAATATGACGGAACACTCGGTAAGTCACAAACCAATTATTGTAAATTTGGGGTTAATAATGTTAAGTCACATCAAAGTCAATATTTTAGGACAAAGTAAAAAAAAATCTAACAAAAAATCGAAATAAATTGACCAAACACTTGACTTTTGCAAAGATTCCAATATTTATTAAATGTACGGTTTCTTTGCCTTTGTTAAAACAATAAGTGAACTTTAAAATGATTCTCCTGCCAAATGTCGATTTGGTGACTTAACATACCTTACCTCTGAGGTGCTGATATTCAAATTAACAATTCGAACTCCAAATATCTAATGTCCCGATAGCCGAGTTGGTAAGGCAACGTGCCTATAACGTGAATGTATAAGGTTAGAATTCCTTCCAACAACATCGCTATTCTTGACATCCTTCGCAAATACACGTATACTCAATATTGCGAAGGGTTCATTTACGCATGCTTTCCTAAAATGAGATTCTTGAGACCCCTTCGCAATTACTTGCGAATGTTCCACATTCTCACTTTGGCAACGTTGCAATTATATTAAAATGACACGCTAAATGACAGCACGATACAAATATTTTGTATCATGGAATGACAGTTTTTATTATCTGACTGCATTTAGCTCATTAAAATTTCTTGGGAAATTTGTTAAAAATAATCTGATTCATTTAAAGCATTACTGATTTCTTTAGGGCATCGGTACACTGATGCCCGGGAAACTGATATAAATAAACTTCTACCAATGTCCATGTTACAGCTTCCTGGTGCAAAAAAACCCTAAAGCTACTAAAACCTACAAAATCAGAATCCTACTATTAACTAAATAAATGAAATATGTTAAGTTATATTTAATCTGAGGTCTCATATAGGGCGAGCGTGTATTATTAAAAATCGACACAATTCTTAATTATTATTCAGGAACGAATTATGTGTCTGCAGTGGTATAACCATGGTATAATCGCATCTTCAACGTTTTTAGTAAGTCTAATACAAGTATCCATTCAAAAAAATAGATCTTAAATTAAAAACTAAACACATATGACACAAGTCAATTCATTAAACGCACACGCAAGTAGTTTGCGATTGATAATACCCACTCGCAGTTTTATGCGAGTACTCGAATTTGTTGCGTATAATCAAGAATACACAATTTGCTATTTCATTCGTAATGTCAGACTTTACGAGTGACCTTGAAATTTGCGAGTGGTCAAGAATAGGGCTGCAAAACAGTTTTTTCAATTTTTCACAAATAAATTTGTAGGGGGTAATTTTGAATTTTTTTTAGGAATTTCTAAAAAAAATATATAAATTGTAAAATTTGAAATTGTCAAATTTTTTGAAGTTGATACCCTCTGTTTCAAAAAATCAGCAATATTGGACCCTTAACTCACTTTTCCTAATTTTATGAGTACATTGTTCTTAACCGTACTTATTTGAGAATCAGAATTACCTTGTATATGTATAATTATTTATTTCTAAACTTACCTTGATAAAGCGCCTGCGCATAATACAATTTATAATCACGATCCTCTGGATACAAATTAGTAAGTTTTTCATAATAATTAGCAGCATTCACAAAATCTTGAATATAAAAATAACAGTAAGCCAATAGGGAAAGACCGGCTCTGGTCGAGCTGGATTCTGAAATGCTATGAAGAACTTTAATGGCATCGGCAAATCTGTTATCTTTTATCTGAAAAAAAGAAACAAAAACTCGTTTATCCAAGGACCACAAGATCAGAGAAAATTGCGTATATTACCAGTGTGTAGATGGTTTTGGTAAAATCTCCGTCGTTTATGATGTTTGCAGAATACATTGTTGTTCTGACTGAAGGTTTGTTTGTATTTTCGCTTGGTTTCCATGGAAATATGGGAATTGATGTTAGTTACCATTTAAAGGAAAGAGGACGTCCCGACATGAGGTAAATTTTTTATTGAGCTGTATTGCTGATAATATAATGTATTAGATATAACCGGTGTCTCAAAGAATATTTACTTATTACTTATCAAAGTTGCAAAAAATATCGGGTAAATAAAATGGTTAAATTTTTTTTTTTTTAAGTTAAACGATTTTATTGAAAAGAAAGATAATGATGTGGATAATCTAGGACCTACCTAATTATTTTTTAGCTTTTAGTATATTATCTACATCATTAGTGGGTAGGTAGTGTAGCGGTCTAACGCGCTTATATTCATTTATAGGCAAGTTTATGAGTCTGAGACTGCTGGGCTTCGAATCCCAGACTGGACCATGTGGATTTTTAATTAAATTGCATGGTTCGGTTTAGGATTTGATTTGTGCCGTATTAATAGAAATTCAATTTCTGTTGATATGACATGCAGATTAAAAAATCGCCATGCATTACAGTCTCGATGATAGTGGGTGAGGTTTTCCGGGTTTTCCTCACCTGTAAGTCAAATGGCACCATCAATCATCTTTAAGTCGCCCCGGAGCGCCACGGCAAATAATAATAATAGCCGTCCCTTCCCCTACACAAGTCGTTCAGTCGACTTCAGGGGTTGAAATTCACTCGTAAGGGGGTGAATTAGGGAGAGTATTATTAGTATTATTATTATTATTTTTCTTTTCAATAAAACCGTTTACATTAAATAAAAATTACCTATTTTATTTTCAAGTTTTTAGTTTTTATTTAGTTTCTTAATATTTCTCATTCTGTTTGTTTCATTTAGTGCCTCATTATTTCCTGTCAATTTGTTGCAGTCTAACTCCTTAATACATAATCCTTCTAAAGACTTTACACGACTCAGTGCCACGTAAGCTTGTCCTTCCTCAAAAAAATTCGAGAATAAATACACAACTGCGTGGTTTACAGTGCTGTCTTGCATTTTATGGACAGGTTAAAGAAGTTACTAAAATTATATAATAACGATGCTTTATGTGTATTGTTGCTCGATACGTATTCTCGCACGATGAAATCTCCTACAATTAATAAATTTCTTTTATAAAGACTTATGTGCAGATTTTAAGGAATTAAAAAATAATTCGTAATCAAATACCGAGGTAGTTGGAGGAAAGTTGAATCCCTTGAAAAAAATTAAGGGTATATGGTCCGTTATTAACCGAAATATCGGTTACTCGGTCCAAAACTAACTGCTCTGCTTGACATTCCTGAAAAATCGGTTAAATTAGGGACGCTGTTACCTGAAAATGGAGACTTAAACTCCGAGCAATTACTACTAGAGGGAGTCTTCCCCCTTCCCCGCGCTAAAATTTGTTAGTAACATCTACTCCCCCCGAAGGGGGAAACACCTCTTCTGTAATTGGCTTATTTAATCGGCGTTGCCACATTTGACAGCGCAAGTTCTGACACTTTCTGACACATGTCAATTTTTTATTTGTATTTTACGGAAAATATAATTATTAATAGAGTTGTAAGAGTTGTAAATGTATATTTAAGATTTGGTGAAAACATGCTTTATGTGTAAAAGGTCTGATGAAAATGCTTCTTCAAGATAATATCATAAGTAAGTACAGACACAACCTAATTATCAGAGGCGGTGCATTAGGCAATCACCTTTAATTTGCATTTAAACTTTTTTATCGAAAAAGTAAAATTAAGAGCAAGTAAACCCCTAAGTTCGTTTTCATCCGTCTCATAATAATTATAGTAAAGGTTAATCACATTATTATTATTATTGTAAAGTTTATTGTTATTTTTTTTAGGGTTCCTTTTCTTGATACGATAAAAAGAAATACATGGTTCAAAAATTTAGGAATAACTTTTTATGCTAATGAATATTTTTATTAGACCTCAGGGGAGGAAAATATTGTTACACTACACCCTGCAGTAGCCTGCGGCCGTTATAGGAAACGTACAAATACGAAAAGAAGTGCAATGTCACCCATCATGCTATAGTTTGCTGCAATCATCATAAGTAAAAGTGCGAGTAAAAGAAGATAGAATAGTCCAGAAATGTCGGGAAACGTCATTCTTTGTCAAGAACATTCTAGGCATTTCGAGAAGGTTCGCGAAGGGTCAAGCAAGCTATATAAGCCGATGATCCTGACGTCAGTTTTCAGTTTTATGATAGACGTTACATGTTAATGTTATCAGTTGAATAGTTTTTGTAAAAGTTGAGTTCAAATAAATTGCGATACCAAAAACCTGCGTAATATTGGTGACAGCGGTGGGATACAAAGTAAAAGTTCATGGTAAATACTAGACCCACTGAGTACGAAGCAGGCATGGACACTTCAGGCCCACCAGCATGGTTTTTGAAGATGGAAAAGGAGAGAGTAAGGCGAGAAGAGGAAAAGGAAAGGCGTAGGAAGGAAGAAGAGGAGGAAAAGGAACGGCGCAGGAAGAAGAGGAGAAGGAAAGACGAAGGAAGGAAGAAGAGAAGGAAAAGGAAAGACGCAGGAAGGAAGAGGAAAAAGAGAAGGAGGAAAGGCGTACGAAAGCAGAGGTAGAAATTATAAATGGTTTGATACAAATTCAGGAAAATTTCAAGCAAGAGGTAGGTAAGCTTAACAGTCGAGTAGATATCTTGGCCCAATAACAAGAGAACTTAAAAACTAATTTGGAAAATTTACAAACTAATTTAGAAGAGCAACAAGAGAATTTAAAAGCTAATTTGGAACAACAACAAAATAATCTAAAAACTAAGATAGAGCAACAACAAGAAAAGGCTAGAGCAGACTTGGAAAGGCAAATTAGAACTGAAATAGTTGAGTTAGGAAGAAGAATTCGTAGCCAAGCTCCAGTAAGCAACATTGAAGCTGAAAACACTACCTCGCCTTCATCCATAACCGAACCAAGCCACATTCGAATCCCAGTTTCACAAAACTATACTAGCAAGACCCTTAAGCCACCCACGTTTGACGGTCAGACAACATGGGAAACATATCGACTCCAATTTGAAGCTGCAGCTAGAGCAAATGGCTGGACCAAGAAAGAGATGGCGGCTTCATTAATAGCGTCATTGCGAGATCAGGCAGCAACTATTTTACAGTTACTTCCCCAAGGAGAACCCAGTTACTTTTCTCTCGACCAAGCTTTGGAGACAAGATATGGCCAGCAGCATTTGAAACATGTTCTCCAAAGCCAGCTAAAAGTTCGTAGTCAGAAACACAGTGAGAGTCTACAAAAATTCGAAGCCGATATTAAAAGATTGCTGTATCTGGCCTATCCACAGGCACCTAAAGATTTCTTAGAACAAATCGGCATACAAGCATCTATTGATGGACTACAGGACGTGGAAATGCAGCAGGCTCTTCGGCTACAACACCACAAGACGTTGAGTGAGACGCTAATTGCAGCCCAGGAATACGAAGCAGCAAAAACTATAATATCTAGATCTTCTCGTGCAAAATTGAGAGAAATTAGATTCCAAGAAAGTGAAGAGGCCACTACTAATACTGCCCTTCAACCTACCCTTTCACAAATTTTAAATATCCTGCAAAATAGCCTGATAAATAGCCAAAATGAGAACAGACGATGCTATAATTGCGGAAGAAACGGACACCTTCAAAGAACCTGTCGAAGCAGGGCTCGTTCTATGAATCGAGATTCGGAGAATGACACCAGAAATTCACCTAAATCAATACCTCCCGAAGCCCGTCACGAAGTCCAACAAGATATGCCTTCCGGAGAAGTCGGTCACCCACACCTAGCCGGCTTTCTAGAAATAGCCAGGGAAACGAATAAAGGTCGAAACTACGGGGCAGGCGTCGGCTGTGTCAGAGGGCCCCAAAATTCGCACTTACACATTGAATAAAAATTAACAAAATCTATTGGTCAAGGAGTATATCGATAACCAAGAAGGCACCTTCGTCCTTGATACTGGTGCAACCAAGTCTTTCTTTCGAACAGGGATCCTGCATCGGAAACCACGACCAACTCGAAGAAGCTTAGTTCTGGAAACAGCTACAGGGCACACTACTCCTGTTCTAGGCGAGATATCAGCAACCGTACAGATTGGTAATACCCTGATAAAACACTTATTTCTGGTGGCTGATATTAAGGATCAGTGTGTCCTTGGTATAGACATTATGCAAAATAATTTTATCATCAATCTTCAAAACAAGATCTTGGTGATTGGAAACGAGAAAATTGTCCTTAATTCGGAAGAAAAGACCGATAAAAGTCCTGGTGGAAAAAGACATAGAAGTACCCAAAATTCTGAAGCTGTCGTCTCAGCGAGACTTAGCGAGAAATCACATGGCTTACATGTAGACATTGTGGAAAGTGAAGAATCTGTGAGTGATGGAATTCTGGTAGCTAGATGTCTTGTTAACGTTGATCAACTAATTCCAGTAAGGGTTGCCAATTTATCGAAGAGACCGTTCAAACTGAAGAAAGGACAAGCCATAGGGCTCTGTACACCCGTGGAAAACATAATCAAATGCGAAGACCGTTCCTCGGGAAAAGCCACCACAAGTAACCCAGTTGACGCCAGCTTTGTTAAACGGCTAGTTAAAAATTATGACCATCTGACAGATGAAGAACATAGAAAAGTCAAAGAATTTATCAATACCAACTGTGATATTTTCGAGACAGGAAAATCCACGGGGCGTACCAGTCTTGTTCAGCACAGAATTTATACAGGCGATGCAAGGCCAATAAGGCACGCACCTAGAAGACTTCCATTTGCTAAGCAGAAAGAAGTAGCGAATATGATACAGGATATGATGGAAGCGAATATTATTGAAGAAGCTTCTGGTCCCTGGTGCTCACCTGTGGTCCGAGTAACCAAGAAAGACGGATCTACTCGTTTTTTGTGTAGACTATAGAAGAATAAATCAGATAACGCAAAAAGACAGCTATCCACTTCCAAATTTTGATAGTGTGGACAGCAAGTTGGTGGTTCGAGCCCCAAAACTTTTAGTTTTTTTTTTGTTTTTTTTTTCCTTAAAAAAGGAAAAATATTATTGTTTTATTATTTCACAGTCTTGGTAATTTAAAATGTTTAGTTTTTAAAAAGTATATACTTATTCAATGCATAGTGGCGCATAACGAGGTTCATTCATTTTTATGTTGGCCGGCAATTAAACTCCGGAGAAAGTGTCTGCCTTTTTGGAATTAATTTTTTTTATATTTAATTAAGACGCTATTAAAATTTCAGCGTGATTCAAACACTTTAAATCATATTTAAAAAAAATTAACTTTGGGGTTGATTTATCAATTATAAACCCTCTCAAAAGTGTTTGCCTAAATTACTAGTATTTTTAGAATTACCTAAACTTTCAATTGTTGTTTGTTGGCCTCTGAATCAAACACTTTTTTTGGGTCATATTTTACGACCCCTTTCTATTATGAGCAGTACCTGGTGTCCCGGGGTGGGTCTAACCAACACAGGTATATCTGCTTTTCCATCCAAATGATTTCAAATTACAAAATTTCAAAGTGCATCAAACACTTAATGAAATGTCTGTTACTAGCTCTCCGGCTATTAGAAGTTTTCTTCGACTGTGCTCATATTACCGGAAATTCGTCAAAGACTTTGGCCGAATTGCTAAACCCCTTCATCGACTAACTAAAAACAGTAGTCTATTTGACTGGACGCTGGATTGCCAAAATGCCTACACCGAGTTGAAAAAGCGATTGACCACAGCACCCATCCTAGCCTATCCTCGAGAAAAAGGACAATTTATTTTGGACTGTGATGCATCCCAACACGGCGTGGGTGCCGTGCTATCCCAAGAACAAT